GGCTTCAACTCAGAACTTCAAACTTATGTGTGACCCAGGAGTATGCTCTTGAGAGTTTTTGATGAGTTAGCAAATAATTTACCTTCTTCAACCCCAAGTATAATAACAAATTTCTGCCTTTTGAAGAGAAAGGGAATATACCGGGTTCCCTGGCTAACACGATGTGAAACAATGGCAAAATTAAAAGTTGAGTGAGGCTGTATTTGATGCCTGGAGTTGGAAATGAAGTTATTGCTACTGTCTTCCAGGCAGGGTTATTATGTCTTTTTGCTGGATCAGTGCAATTTGGGTTTTATATTGTGTGTTTTCATAAATGCCTTAAAGAAGCAAGACATCTTTCCTATTTTCTAGTGATTTCATAAACATCATGATATTACTACAACCTAAGGATGTAGCTCTCTGTTAGAGTACTAGAAGCCATATGTTGAATCCTCAGCACACACACACACACACACACACACACTCCATAAGGGGGTGAGACTTTACTTAAGTGCTTCCCTTTCCATAGGCTAATAGCAAACAAAGAGTTAAATCCCTCACTTTGAAACTCACATGTAGATTTTAGGCAATCTGAAGCTAGGAAAATAATCTTTAAACATCATGCCTTTTATTCCAAGAATCAACTACTTGAAATAGAAAATAACTTTTTCACTTCCTGACTTGAAATGCAGAAGTGCCAAGGCCTAGATGATTCCAAACACAGTGCAGAAAGAACAGATGGGGGATGTAAGCAGCACTGGGAAACTCTGAGAAAAGGAGCAGGGGGAAATGCTAGAAACCACGGATATTGTTACCAAAATGAAGACTGCCTTTGATGGGCTCATCTGTAGACTGGATGTGGCCAAGGAAAGAAGCAGTGAGCTTCAGTCCTGAGTGGGTCATTTGTATCACTGCCTCCCAGGCTCAGAGAACATCAAGGAAGAAGGGGAGGAAAGAATGTAAAAATCTGAAGATGGGAAGTTTGATAAAACACTGTTTTCTGGACATGGCGTGACTGTTGGACTTGTGAACTCACAGCAATACCTGCACAAGATCAGCCACTCAGCACACCAGCATGAACTAGGAAGGCACTTATGAACCTTCAGCTTTAGCTAAGGTGTTGCTAATGCTGTTTTCTCTTCCCTTCCATGACTCCATAGACATGGCATGCACAGTATGAGCAATGACAAGAGCCCCATTATGTGTTAACATTTTGGTGGGTGCAATTAATGTTCTAACCTAAAGTACTGGTATTTAAGACAAATACTAACATTTCATACCACTGTTGAGGAAATCATAATTTGAGAATTAAGTATATACATTGTTCTTCGGCTCATTGAACATAACTTGGCACATGATGCTTTCCATACAAAATATTCTTGGTTATACATGGGAAGAAAATCACTACCACAAAATAAGGTAAAAAAATGAGAAAAAAGGTAAAGTTATTAATATAATAAGAAGAAATAAGAAGGCATACTAGATGTAGCATTTATAATAAGGAAGATGGAATTAAAATCTTGGTTTGTAGGTGGAAACAGTTCATTAGGACTGGAGAAGCTGGGCTATTGCCTGGTTCTGTCCACACTGGTTCTGTTTAGTGCAAAACATTGACCAAATCCTATCATTTTTTTCTACTATCACCTGCACAACCACAAAAAGAACTCACCCAAAGTGTGTGCAAATACGAAATACTAGATGGGAAGGAAAGAATGTAAAGATGTGGTGAATAAGCAAGCTGGAGTCGAGAGAGAAAGCCTTGTGCCTGTGAGATGACAGGATGCAAAGGAACAAATGGTCCCAGTAAGTCCTCCAGGAGTCACCAGTTAGCATAATGGAGACATAAAGAAGGATAACCAATACACAGCATGCCATATACCTTCAGTAAATGCCTAACAGAGCGGAGCTGATGCCTCTCCTCCCTACTTGGCCCGTTGGTAAAGGCACAGTGCCCATTATCTGTACCAACTCTCATTAATTGTTAGCATCCTGGACTGGGTCTTGTTTGGAGGTATTTGAGATACTGTACAGACTAAGAAGGAAAGAGACCTTTGAGCTATTACTATCTAAAATGGATATGGGATACAAAGTGCAGAGGCATACATAAAACAGCCTTTCAAACTCCAAAACCTTCAATGTTTCTAAGAACTGTACTAAAAATCTTCCCCTCTTTCTGGACCACATAACCACGGAAAACCCAAGTCTCAGTCGTCTTTCTGTACATATCCAACATTCTACACAGTGTGTTTGTTGTTTGTGTTATAATATGACATGGGCTAGTGACATTATAGCTATTTTAGCTTTAAGCTAATGACACATTTCTCAGAAGTAATGCCTGAAAGAATGTGTTAGCCTTCTTGACAGCAATCCCACCTTTTCAGACACTTGCATGGTAGACAAGAAGTTTTCAGCATAGTCATGATTGAAAATGAGTATCTAGAAGTCAAGTACCAGTGAGGACTCCAGACTCCCCTCATCCTTGAAGACACTCCTCAATACTTATATTTAACTTTATCAATTCTTTTGCAACTCTACACTTTAAGCTTATTGTTTTCTTATGGTTTTCCTCTGTCTCTCTTTCCCACTAGTTTCTTCTGCTCTTAACTTACTCACAATGGTGGCCAGCACCCTAATTTATATAGACACCCTTGAAACCTGAGGATAAAGAATGCCTTCCAAACTCCCATTTTAATTAATGACTATTGTAAATATAGAGTCAGGAAGAAAATTTTGCCATGAGGTGGCACACTGGAGATAACACCGTGTTCTATGGTGAACCTATGTCCGTACTCCCTGTAGTCGAGCTAGTTGCAACACACAAGTCAGCATGAATGTCTCTAGGGACCTTGGAACAACAAGTTCCAGTTTAGCCTTAGTGTATGGCCGAAAAGAAAAAAAAAGGAAGCCACCATAAGTTTCTTTGCCTTTCTTTTGTATGATGGTTTCCCTAGACTCTCTGGCCTCTCTGTGACCTTTGTTGCATGCACGAGGAGAAGCTGCTTCCTAGGATAGATCTGCAAAAGAGAGTTCTGACTGAGGCAGCTGTACTCACAACTACAGTCTGAAGGGATGGGGTGCTTGAAATATAGGTTATCTAACTTGGACTGGCCAACCTCCCCTCGGACATTCAGCTGAACAATAACTGTAACGGTAAGAGAAAGAACAAAGCCTCTTCCCAAATCTGCCTCCCTCCCTTTTCTCTCCCTCAGCCAGTATGCCATGCTTCCTGTTTCCCAAGTTATGAAAATGTGTTCATCTGTCAAGGGGAAAGCTGCCCCACTGTCTTAGGTGCAGAGAACTCCAATCACAGCAGCTGCTGGGACCAGACCGGGAGCCAAGCTCCTCATTTGTTTTGGCTAACACTGAAGAATCAGTTTAGGCATCCCCTAGAACAAAATGGTGCATGGGAACAGAGCCAAGCCATGGAAGAGAAGCGGCAAAGTTGCAACAGATTATTTGTCTGTTAAAACAGAAGGAGAAAGAGAGCTAAACCTGGATCCATTTGAGTCCAGCCTCCCTAACATATTCTCCACTTGCAACACAGATGATTTCCTCTAATATTGCTCAACAGGTGCTAAACTGGAGCTTTGCTAAAGATTAATCATTCTGCCTTGGAAACGGAATTAAAAAATAACAAGGCAGCTCCCAGGATTTATAGGCGATTTCTACAGCGTACTCAGCATGGAATATATATAAACAACATGCATATTATTGCATATATGTAAACTAAGTGCTTGCCAATGGCAATCCTAAGGAAAATATCATTGCCCTCTGTTTCCATTAAGCACTTTACATGTATGAAGTACACTGCATACCAAGAGGAATTTATACTTGCATTTTTGACTCCTTTTAGGCTATGAGTTTTTTATTCTATATTTTTCACTGAACTCTCATTTTCTTAAATGGGATATACATATATATATTACATATATATATATATATGTTGGATACTGCATTTGCTGACTCAAGCTGCTCCAACATGTAAAGTGTCAGTCTCTCAACATCTTTAAGTAGGATGAATTGAGCATGATCATTCTACTGAAAATTTGCCAGCACTGTTAATATGAAATGCTTCTTTGAGATTTCTGTTTTCATATATTACAAACAAAATCCAAGGCTATGCAGTTTTAAATTATTCAGGCACTTCATTAAGTCCAAGTTCATGCTGTAGTTCATTTAAGTGATCAATGAAGAAAGTAGAACTTAGGACTAAGATGACTTTACTTTTTCCCTGAGTTTGCCAGAATATGGTTAACCTGGAACTTCTGGAAGTCTGATTAGAGAGAGGGAAATATGAAGGCAAACTCTGGACAAGACACAGAGACAAAGAAACATCTTAGGATCCTTAAATGATTCAACAACTTTGAGGAGAGATCCCAGATCTGGCTGGATTTTTACAAGATTGTCCTCATCGTGACCGATATGGTATGTGTGGGGCTTTATCTCAAGAAATATCCAAATTAAGTACTTTTCTAGGATAAATAAACCAAAACCCAGAAGCAATGGATTGTGGGAGTTATAGGGGTACACAGTCTGAATTTCCAGGTCTTGGACTAAGGTTGGGATCCACAAAGAATAGATGACTGTGTCCATTTGGTGAAGAGTCCACTGTGAACAAGTCCCAGCCTGGGGAGCACGGCAGAGGGAGTCTAGCCTGGAAGTCTTCCATGGTTGGATTTTCCACCTTGAATGCCTCCCTCTCCAGAACCAGAGTGCTATCCTAGATGAAGCTCCTACAACAGCAGCCTCATGTTGTAAGGAAAAGTGGTTTTGTACCTGTAGCTAGAGACAGCCAATCCTGCCCAGACTCATCAAGAAGAGGGAAAAGAAAATTCTGTCATCTTGAACTTGTCCTATGTTTGTCCCATATGTTTCCCTAGGCTCGGGCTTCCTTCCACATTATTTCAATAGTAAAAATGGGCAATTTTTTTCTGCTTGGTAATTTGTGTTCTATCCACAAAGTGATCTGACCTCATTTGGTTGGAATTATTAAACACAATAAAAAGTGGAATAAGGTTGTGTTATTTCTGTTTTGCTTTTATTTTTCTTCCATACTATGACATTTCAGTATTGATGAAAATAATTCAATGTTCAGGTCATTGAATTCAATCTTCCTAAATATCAGATTTGGAAGCAGGACGCTGGAGCAAAGTTTTGTTACTTCAAGATGGCCACTTGGCACTCCCTTGTCAGAGCCAGTCTGTGGTAATATCTCAAAGATCAGCATTACTGGATTAAAAACAGAAGAGTGATAGCGTTATTCAGCATAAATGTGACATTTATGTCAAACAAGCATGAATTGAAATAAACTAATTCATTTACAAGAAGCCCACTGCATTCAGCAGAAAATTCTGCATAATGCATGCAAACCTGTGCCATCTCCCCAGAAGCCAAGCTCCAAATTACCACCAAAGAATTCAACCCAACCCAACCCAACCAAATGCATTATAAATGCATGTATAATTTATAAATGTATGTATGTGTAAAATTCCTAAGTCTCCAAGACAAAAGGCTTTAAATAATGTGGCAGGTGTCAGTGTTGCACCAAGGTAATGGTGGGAACCCACAGTCAGAATGTTGCCTGCTTAAAACCGATTTGTTCCAGTGATGTGCTCAAATATCAAATGCTTGCTTTTGCAAGAACATTGCCTGTTTGTTTTCCTTCTTTACGTATGTCCTTATAGCTCTAAGTATTTCCTTGAGGCTGAAATTTAGCCCTCTGTGATGAGAGGACAAGACTTGGAAGAACTTGACCTAGTTGCATCGGGAATGGGTTTTGAATTTCTGAAAGCATATTTAAAATGACTATTAAACAGGTGATAATTCTTGCTTGACACTGGTTACTGAAAACCTGGGATGGGAATTGGTTTGGGCTTTGAAACAAGAACTTAAGTGTATTAATCCCAGGAATCTTGTCTTGGTCACCAAACCACATTGTGTGAATTTGGTACTTAGGATAAAACTGAGGGAAATGACTGTCAGCCTTGAAAACTATGTTAAGAGGGGAGTTTTTTCTGAAACCTTTATATATAGGGCCCTCTCACAGTGCCAAACTTTTAGAGAGAGTTCCTACCACTGGACCCACTCCCAAATGAATGTGCAAATGCTCTTGGGGTGGGTGTATTACAGTGGCCACTGGGTGTGTTACAAACAACTTTGGCTGGAAACTTGAAAGTGTCCATTTTGCATCTCCAGCTGGTAACTTTGAGCATGACCACAGTTCTGATGTTCAATGGGCTAAGACAGATTTTTTTTCTGAACTTTGCTGCCTCAGTATCCATTCTTACTCTGGGTTTCCAGCAAACTTCTGTGGTTTTTCTATGTTGTATTTTCCACGTTAGAAATTAAAATGAATTCTTTATTTAAAAATAGTGCCAATGCACTCCACAAATTTGTGGGACACACACACATGCAGGGTAACTGAGACAGGGCCTCACCGTATCTCAGGTTGGCTTTCAATTTTCTGTATAGCTGAGAATGGCCTTGACCTTCTAAACCTTCTGTGTCTACCTTCCAAGTGCTTGAATTACTAACATTCACCACCACATCCAGCTTACAGGGCACAGTTTTATAAAAATAATCCTATTTTGTAAAACACTAGAGAGGAACATTGGTCCAAGTTTTTACAAATCTTCCAGAAGAAGCTGGAGTCAGACTATTCTCTCTGTAGTGATGCCACATTCATGAATCCATCTTAGCGAAAAAGTGACACTGCGCTTCAGCGTGTTGATAAAAATAGTTCTGGTCCTCATGAACTACTTGAGAAAGAGGTCACTTAGGGTCTCACAGCACTCTTGGAGGACTGCTTTTAGACATAAAACAGAGGCCCAAACAAACAATTATATCATTATGATCAATGTTTGCTGTGATGGATGAGCTAGATATCCTGATTTGATTGTGCCTCAGTGTATGCGTTCCTTAGAACATTGCAGTGCATTCCAAAAACAATGTATACGTAGCATGTGCTAACTGAAAACTGAAGGGGCTGGTGAGATGCCTCAGCAGGTAAGGGTACTTACTGCTTAGCCTGATGACCTAAGCTTGATCTACAGAACCCATATGATAGAGGAAGACTCATTTCCACAGGTTGTTCTCCACTTTATATATATGCACATGCAAACACACACACACACACATGTAAATACAAAAAAAATAATAAGAATTTTAGAGTTAGTATTGCTTGAATACTTACTCCTCTCTTGTCCCTGTTTTTTATGATAGATGGATAGATAGATAGATAGATAGATAGATAGATAGATTGTAAAAACAGCATGCAGATAGATGAATAGGTGATAGACATAAAAGATTGATAGGTAGGTAGAAGATAGGTAAACAGATAAGGAGATGGTAGACAGAAGAGAGATAGAAAATAAATAGATATATGATAGTATATAGCATTATCTTTACTTTCCAAGTAGGAATACTGAGAAAAATGACTTTCCCGAAGTTATACAAATTACAAATGATAAGGTGGCTGTGGGCCCTCCATGCAGCCTTATTGGGGACTATAGACCATCTGTGGCAGTGGAATCAGCAAAAATGATGGTGACGACTGTATTAGCAGGAATCCTATTTAACACTTAGAAAATAGGACCCTGTAAAGCTGTGGGTCTGTTTCTATCCTCACAACAGGTCTATGATACTCTTTGTATCAACACTGTCACCACCATCACCATTGCATTCAACAGTGGCATGTGATTGACAAGGAGCCTGTCTTGCTTAGAATTGTAATGAATACACAAGTTTTTAATTACAAAATTGTATTGTCATAGTAGTGAAATATGTAATATGCTAAATGAGCATGATAAAGTCTGATACTTCACTTAAGTAATATGGTGACCAAAGAAGACACAGTGGATTTTGCAGAAGAAACCTTTCCAGAGGGCTCTTTTTATTACTTTGTGGCCTAGGTATTCAAAGTGTAAATGGCCTGAAGAATGGGAGCACTGGGAACCTCAGTGTGGACTCTGTGCCCCACTCTGGGGGTGCCTTTGGGACTGTGGAAGCAAGCCATTCTATTTCCCTATTAAGTAATTCAGCCATCCTCTCTATTCAGACAGGTTTCTTTTCATAGTTTGTGGAATTTTCTTCCATATGTTTTCTATATACTGTGTATAAAAGCAACAGTATCTTATACCCTTAGAACTTACATTCCATCCTGTTCTTTTAGGAGGCAGGCCACCACAATGTCATGCATTGTGTGTGAAATAGGAACAAATGGTATCTGAGTTTACGGACTGTGGACGGATGCTGTGTCTGCATAGCTCACTTCCATCAGTAACCTTAACCACATTAAGTGGGGAGGATGAATAAGTACTGATCCTCTAAGCAACTTTGCTAAGAGAAACAAGCTTTGTATAGTGTGAAGGCCTCACGTCCATGGACCAGGAAGACGACCTGCTTGCCACACTTTCCCCTTGTGTTTTTACATTCCAGAGCTCTGTTCTTAACTACACTTTGAAAGCTCCTTTGGAGGAAACCAAATACGCCTTGTTCTAGGATTGTTTTGAATGTTTTGAGCTTGTGGTCATGGTTGACATGAACTAATTCAAAACATATTTGGAGCACAATAGCACCAAACCTGGGTAGGTAGCCTCAATATTTTCGTGAATGATTTCACTTATTTTCTTTTTTGTTGTAATTTTTTTCTCTAAATTCACATCCAGTGTTTATGACCTGTATCTGAGATACAATGTCAAGAAAAATAGGAATGCTGACAAATTTATACTGAACGAGATAAGGAGAACAAAACAAGTAAAAGAACATTAAGAAAAAACTCGCAATTGAAAGAGAGGGGTAGAGAAAGATGCAACAAGAAAAGAGGGCCTAGTGAGAAGGTCCATTTGAACAAGAGCTTGCTGTGCAAGCCTGGAGACCTGAGTTCAATACCTGGAACCCATGTAACGATGGAAGGAAAGAAATGAACCTGTATAGCTGTCCTCTGGCCTTCACACACCAGCTGTGGTATGCATGACCACACACATTCATTAAACTCTCTATCCTCTCTGTCTCCGTTTTCTGTCTCCGTTTTCTGTCTCTGTCTCTGTCTCTGTCTCTCTCTGTCTCTCTCTGTCTCTCTGTCTCTCTCTCTCTCTCTCAGGCACTAAAATAGAAAAAACATAGATTTACTAGAGTAAAATTGATCCAAAAAACAATTTTATGTTCTGCCAAAGCCATTGATGGACAAGTAATATCTTCCATTTATATTCATAAGAACACTAAGATGGTAGAACTGGCCCTTGTGTGTCCATCTAAGTTCTTATTCTTACATGTCACCATTCAAAAAAGTCTAGTTTCTATAGATAATAGTGTGATGGGTCTTTGAAAAAAATTAAAATAGAGTTGCCATATGATCCCCAAATTTCATTCTGGGATTATATATCCTGAATATTTGAAAGCAACATTAGAAAGGATCAATGTTCAAAGAAGTGTTATTCACAATAGTTAAGAGGTAAACAAAAGCTAAATATCCAACAAGAAATGATGGATAAATAAAATATGGTATATACACACATTGGACTACTATTCAGTCTTATAAAAGAAGGAAAGTTTGAAGCATACTGAGGCATGGATGAATGCTAAATGGAACAAACGACCACAAAAATCATAAATGCCATATGAGTGCACTTACGTGAAATACCTAGACTAGTCAAATTAATAAGAAAGTAGAGGAGAATTGGAGGAGAGGAAAAGAGAGCTTGCATCCAATGGGCACAGTTTTTGTTTTTCAAGATGAAAAATTTTAGAGCTGTATGGTAATGCAAATCCACGACATTGAACATAGTGCTACAGCCTTATACATTTGACAGTGCTTGGCTCATTTTCTGCTGTGAATGTTTTTATTACAATTATAGTAAATTATTTAAAAAACAGACACATTAAATGGAGTCAATAGAATATGTGTGTGTGTGTGTGTAGATCTAGATAAATAGATATCTGTGTATATGTAACAACAATAATTAAAAGAGTGGTAAATTGCCTTACTTAGACCGTGTTAAGCAGGACAGGAAGCAAGTACACAGCTTACTATTAGTAAGCTACAGCTTTGTTGTCAAAGCCCAGTGCCCTGGCTTCTGGCCCTGTGCAAACACTTTGCCCTTTAAGACATATTCCTATTGAGCCTTGGGCAGCAGATCAGTACCCATCCCAAGTATACACACGGACTTTGGACTCCCATAGAACAATGTGAGGTGCACTCTCACCCGAACTCTTGGGGAAGGGTCTAGGCCCTGCCCTATATGAAATGACAGACTATGCACACCCCCATGGAGGGCCTCACCCTCCCTGGGGAAAGGAGGGGATAATGGGGGGGGAGGGCTCGGGAGGAAGGGAGGGAATGGGAGAGGGACCTGGAACTGACTTGTGAAACAACCTTGTTTCTTATCCAAATTTAAACTGGAAAATAAAATTTTTAAAAAAATCTAAAAAAAAAGTACAATAAAGTTCTAATTAAAAAGAAAAAAGACATATTCCTCTGGCAAGTCTGAGAGTGAAAAAAGGGAAGACTCAAAGAAGAGCTCGAGCCCATTGCTGTCCCCAGAGAAAGAGCTCCTGTGCTGTGCCTGGTCATGGTGGTGGTTCCCTGGATCATGGCTGAGCATCTACACTTCCTGTTTGTCTGTCAACAGCTCTGTTTCTACACATGAGAAAAGATCAATCCATAAAGGGCCTCCCTCCCTTCCCCATCTGGCCACCTGCTACAGCTGTCTTGGTCCACTCAAAAAAAATGACACTTGACTGCTGTGATGACCCATCTCCTGCCACCATCATTCTTGGAGTGGCAGCCAATCCCAGGGAAAATCTGAGAGGAACTTACACGTAGTGAGGTGAAGGATGTCTCTAATTCCAGCCTAATGGTTCCCCACTTTTTTGTGTACCAAAGATTTACTGCTATACCAGGTGGTAAGGGAAACTCTTCTGGAAGGGCATAATCAATTAGGCTTTGTGGTTCTTCTCACGAGTGCTCAGTCTTCTCCTATAAGGCACAAAATAGGACAGAAGATAAATTAAGGAGCAGAGGTGTCAGTGCTGTGATAAAACTTTATTAATAGGCACAAGAATTTGAACTTCATATAATTGTTACACAGCTCAAAATATTAGTTTAAAATTTTTCTTCATCACTTAAAGTACAGCATCATTCTTAGATTGTAAACTATACAACAGGCCAGACCATGTGAAGGAACTTTTATTTGCTGATCTTTGGTTCAATCTACATAACATTAAAAGAAAAATTGGCCTCCCTCATTCTTAAGAAGGAAGGAAATACATTCACTGGCAATTTGTTCAACAAAATTTAGCACAAGATGGGAATCAAGTCCGTCACTTCTATGAGTAGGAGTGCTGCCTTTAAAACCTCCATGTTATCCATAAGCTACTTGACCTTGAACTCCTGGAGCCCATATCTTTTCATCTATATGTAAGCTGGCTCCAATGGGAGCTACTTAACAGTTATTGCATTAAATGAGTCAATATTGTTGAGTGGGATGGTTATTGTCTGAGACCTTATACTGTTAGCTGTTGTTAGGGCCTTCACACGATTATCACATTGGATTCTGGCAAATTTGATAATTAGATTGCAGCTGCTTTAGACATCTTGTTTGTTAGGAATCAGAAAATACTTCAAAGTACTTTGAAATGAAATAGATTGAGAGGGACTCAGAAGCAAGAAAGTCAATCGGACTTTCCCCCTCCCCCTATGCAAATAAGAATTAGACCTAAGAGGAAGAAGTTCTCTGATGGAGACTTCATGAGACTGTCTAGGGATGGGTTTTGTGTTTAAGAACTAAGGAATAAAAAGAAGGTAATTCAAGGGGCCAACTGGATCCTTCCTGAGTCCTATCCCCCCATTCACCCACCCCCACGCTTCCAACTCATTCCATATATTCTAATCCCCATTTGTTCTCTTCAATTGACATTTACTAATATATGTATTTATTTATTTGCTCTGTGTGTGTGTGTGTATGTGTGTGTGTTTGAACACATGCAAGCCACATGCTGTGTGTGGTGGTCAGAGGACAATGTGTGGGAGTCAATGTCTTCTTCCACAATATATGTTCCTGAGATTGACCTCTGGTCATCATTGGCCAGAGTCTATACCAGCTGAGCCATCCTTTTCTCTACAACATCTTTCCACCATTAGAAGGCATAAAGACATGGTTTTCCCTGGTCTACAGATATTCACTTCTGAGGCTTCTGTGTTATGTAAAACTTTGTTGTTTAGACCCTCTCTCTTTCCCCTTTATCTGTCTTTGATTATAGGACGGTCAGCCTTGGACTTCACAAGAGGGAAGAAGAGATATTATGCTCTCCTCTCTTTCTTTGGTGCCCAAGGTGAGCAGGAGGCTGGCTCTAGCCAGGAAACCCATCAGCTGTGCTCCAAGCTCCTCCTTCCCCTTCACACTATGCTGCCTCACTGCCTCCTGTGAGGAATCAGGAACTTCCTACAGCTTCTGGTAATGTCAATCACATATTTGCTGGCAAAACTCCTGTCCAGTTTTCCTCTCCTTTCCCTGTAAGCTTTCTCTTCCCGCACTTGTCTCTAAGATGTTAGCATTTTCCATGGTAGAGGTCAAGGACATGTTTTTATTTCTTTCTTTTTCTCCCTCATTCCTCTGCTTTCTCATTCACAGCTATCATTCTAATCATGAGCAATCACCTCACACAGTGAAGTCCATCAGCTGTTTCTCTGATCCTTGTAACTTACCCACAAGACAGGACTGAAGGATGGAAAATTAAATGGGGTAGGCGTTGCTTAAAAAAGGCAAGGAACCCCTTACCCTGGAGCCTGATTGAAATCTCATCTGAAAGTTGAGAATATTGATAGAGCTAACAAAGATCACTGTGAAGATACCCTATATTGAAAAAGATAGATAATTCTTACAGAGCTATATCAAATAAGAAAATTAAACATGCCAATCAAGCTTATAGCCAAAGCATACAAGACTTGAGAGTATCCATATCCCTTTCCCAGCTGTAAGACTGTAATTTATGAGACTCTCACAAACAAATTTCAAACCATGTTTGCAGTCAAAACTTGTCTTCATTTCATTGCAGCTTATATACTTCGAGGATTCCTCTGACCCTTTGAACTTTTGTGTTTTCATCTTATCAGTCTGTTATCTGGTCCAAGGTTCTGCAGAAACCACACTATGGTCTCACTTACTAAGGAACAAGAGGATCCTTAGAAACCCTTTAAACAATGGAAGCTGCAGAAGCCACCAAAACTGTCCATACAGCTCTCTGTTTGGTCATTCAGAGGTGACTCACTTCTATGCTGAATGCTGTCTTTTACTTAGGCAATCTCCCCTCCATTAACGCCTGTGCTTAGATCTGTTAAAACCTTTTCTTGGGACTGGCAACACAGCTTAGGAGATTGCTTGGTCAGTGATGTGTTTACCAGTTGTAAAAATATTAAATATTAGTCTTTCCTATCAAACACTAAAACATTTTTCTCTGTGGGTGCAGTGAACTTTATTGACAGTATTCACTTCTTAAGGGGCTCTGGGATGGAAACTGTGAGGGGAGATGCTCAGTGTTGGGGATTGAGTTGGGACAGGGACTCCCCAGCAGCTGAGCCTCTTGTTGCTCTCATGTTCTTCTTGGGGTGATGGTCCAGGGCTTCTTACTCTTTGGAGGACATGTAGACCTTGAGTTCTACCACCCTGTTGCTGTAGTCACATTCATTGTCATACCAGAAAATGAGCTTTCAGAACTTTTACTGAGAGCAATGCCAGCAAGTGGAAGAGTGGGGAGAAAACCTGATTCTCAGTGTAGCCCAGATTTCCTTTAGTGGGCCCTCAGATGCCTGTTTCACCACCTTTTTAGAGTTATCGTGCTTGGCAGCTTTTTCTATGTGGCATGTCAGACCCATGGTAGACACATTGGACATAGGAACACAGAAAGCCATTGCCAGTGAGCTTCCAGTTCAGCTCTGGGATGACCTTGTCCACAGCCTTTGTAGCACCAGTGGATGCTGGGATGATGTTCTGGGCAGGTCCACAGTCATCACACCACAGCTTCCCAGAGAGGCCATCCACAGTCTTCTAGGTGGGCAGTGATGGCATAGACTGTGTCCATGAGTTCTTCTACAATGACCAAGTTGTTATGGATGACGTTGGCCAGGGGGTTTAAGAAGTTGGTGATACAGGAAACATTTCTGACAATCTTAAATGAGTTGTCATTGTTTTCATGGTCCACACCCATGGGGACATTAGCAGAAGGGGCAGAGATGATAAATGGGCCCTAGCCTTCTCCATAGTGGTGAAGACACCAGTAAACTCCACAACATACCTGGCACCAGCATCACTCCACTTGTGGTATCTTAATCCTGGAGTATGGTGACAACCTTCCCATTGATAACAAGGTCCCCATTCTCAAACTTAATTATGCCATTGAACTTGCCATGGTTAAGGCCATACTGAAATATGTAGACCATGTAGTTAGGTCAATGATGGGGTCATTGGCGACAACAATATCCACTTTGCCAGACATGAAGGAAGTCCTGGTAGCCAGGTGCCCAATGTGACCAAATCTGTTCACTCCAACTTTCACCACTGTGTCTCAGGGGTGAGGCTGGCACTGAACAAGAAGATTCCATTCTCTATGGAATTGGAAGAATCAGGGAGCCAAAACTTGTATTTATTACAAGGAATTTAAATCTTTTTATTGGCCCTACCTTGTAAGATTTCTCATACAAATGGTTTGACTACCGCCCCACCACCACCATCACCACTTTGTTTACACAAAGGTCCTGCTGCTTTCTTGAAACCTACATGACTAAAGTGGCCTGGTTTTCTAATCTTGAAAGATGGTGAGGTCAGACAGATCTAAGCCAATGTGGGAAAGACACAGTTGCCACCTATGCTAGCATTCACTGCACTGTGTGCCTGTTCTGTTTAGTGCTCCCTCATGTCCAGACTGAAGTTCTACCATGTTGAGATGCTGTCATTTTTTTGGTCATTAGGAATATACCTAACACATACAAGCATAAGCACCAAGTATGATTGCTATCAAACATTCAAATACATAGTTATACAAACAGGCAAGAATACATATGCATACAGAGAGAGAGAAAGAGAGAGAGAGAGAGACAGAAAGACAGAGACAGAGACAGAGAGAGACAGACAGAGAGAGAGAGAGAAGCATGGTAGCACATGCAGGTAGAAACAAGATTACAATCCCTGGTGAACACTGGCCATGCAGACAGGCAAAATCAGGTGAGTCCAGGTCCCACTAAAGATTGTGACTCAACAAAGTAGATCATTTTGAGAAACAGCACATAAGGTTGACCTCTAGTCTTCATCCTACTCCCCCACACCAATCCCCCACAATACCCTCCTTTAATAAACTCCAACTTTGCTTCATACTAATTTGTCTTAAAATTCTTTTCTTTGGTGAAGTCATAAACTCCAGCTTCACTCAAGGAAGAAGTTTCTGAAATAACTCTTCAGGCTGCAGCAGTAGGCAGCGGTGTTAGACTGTATGTCTTACTTCCACTGGCCCTGATACTCACAGGTGCACTCCAATATGTATTATACTATTGGATGTTTAGAAGACAGTATGATGGATGGATTTCTATGTCATGCTGATCCAGCTGCAACTTCTGGAGCTGCCAGTCATTGCTTGTGGGATGCTAGGAGAATGTTATACAATTGCCTTGAATCTTTGCTTACACATTAATAAAATGGAGAGCCTTTGTGTTACCACCTAGACATGTAGAGTCACGTTTTTAGTGTATTTGGTTTTTGCTTTAAAGCATTGACTTCTTACTTTTAGTCAATAGGCAACTAAAAGTAGTAAGAAGTAAGCTTTGTCAGTCTTCCTTATTTGGGCTGAAGGTACAGACTTAAGCCATTGTCCTTAACCTTTCCCATTGAGCCATCTTGTATCCCCAGACAGTAGAACTTTGTTGGACAGAACATGCTTCCTACACCAAATATGGCAATCATGCATGAAGGCAAGACAGCCTCCTGGCAGAAGTGACCATTTCTTGAGAATCACTTCGTCCCCTCAAATGGGGATCATCTTGCAGGACCTACACTGAGATGATGATCAACAAACCTCACCTGGACCAGAACTTCTTAATCAATAGTGCACACCTTGTATCCCTGTCCCAATTCTTCTTCTATTTAAGACCAGAGCTCATGTCAATGTCTTGAAAATGGACTTGTGGTTACTGGACTCCTACATCTGTTATATTTAATAGTGTGGCCACATTGAATTAATCTCTTCCTTTTCCTTTACACAGGCAGTTGTCCTCCATCATTGATATATTAGGGACAATGGACATAGCCTATTGAGGCTGTTGGAATCCAGAACCCAGGTACTGTCCTACAAACAGATTACAGGGCTGTGGTGAAAACAACATGAACTGGCAGGTATAATGGACAGAATAGGCTTACATTTTCATTTGTTCACTCATATGATCAACAGATACCCACTGAGCACTTCTCTGTTCCATGAAGTGCATGCCAAGCAGCAGCAAGTCTACGGAGAAAGTCCAACATCCTCCCCTTTTCCTGCTCCGCACACCTGCTCTTCCTCCACATTTGCCTTTCACCATCCTCCCAGTCTTCCAGGTCCAGTCCATAGGTCTCAGGAATATCAACTTCTGTATTCCTCTATGTGTTAAACACCAAGTATTACTTGAACTTAAGTTTTTCCATCCTGGGATGGAGCCCACATCATCTTTGTCTTAGTCACATTTTTTTTGTTGCTGTGATAAAATACCCTTACAAAAGCAGCTTAATAGTGGAAACCCTTACAAAAATAGCTTAATGGGGGAAACCCTTAAAAGAGCAACTTAATGGGGAAATAACTGGTCCACAGGTGCAATCTATCTGGCAGAGAAGTCAAAGCAGCCCGAGCTTGAAACAGCTGATGATATTGAATCTGAAGTCAAGAAGCAGTAGGCTGGATGTCAGTATCCAGCTGCTGTCTTCTTTTTTATGGATCCCACTACCCGAGCCCATGGGAGGGTGTCACCTCCTTTGGAGTAAGTCTTTCCACTTCAATTAACCAGATCAAGATAACCCCTCACTAGCATACCTACAGGTTGAGCTAATCTAAATAATCCCTCATGAATATACCTGGAGGCTTGTCTCCAAGGTGATCCCAGATTCTGTTGAGGTGACAGCCAACAGTAACCAGGGCAACCTCAAACTATATTCTACTTTCAAGCCACTTATCAGGTTTCCATTAATCAGAAATGAGCATCCTGGAAGGTTTGTGCACTGAGAAGGAAGAGATCAAAGCAGAGCTTCCAGAGTTTTAATATGTGCTCTGGGGAGTCCAGTCACAGTAGGAAGTGGCCTCCGGCAAGGAACAAGTGAAGAATTTTTTAAAATTTAAATACAAATGGATAAAGACTTAGAATAAGGCAATGGCATTAGTCATGAGAAGAAGAAAAAGAGCCCGTGAGAAGCATTTTGAAAGAGGCTGTGTAGGAGTGAAGTAGGAATGGGATTTGAGGCTAGTGCCACAAGTCTCCATAACCGGGAGACTGAGGCTATGATTTTACGCATTTTATGGTGGTGCTGCTCAAATGTATTTTTAAATTATTATTATTATTATTATTATTATTACATGTATATATCTGCAACCAACTGTGTCCAGGACTGACCTCATGGTATTGAATAGCCATTTAGAGAGCATATCCCTGGGGAAAACTGAGTCTCCCTCTTTGAGCAGTCATTAATTGTCTATAGCTCTTGATCTAGGTGTGAACCCCTGTGAAACTTCCCCCATCTATGAGGGCATGTCACATGTTTTTGTTATTATTCAGGTCTTCTCTAGGCATTCAATTTAGGGTGAAATTCAATGGTTTTCCTTGACCATTATGGAAAACTACACTGGTCAAAATAGATAGAACCATGACTGTGGGGTGCCCAGCCCCAATTGGTACATCTACAACATATCCCCTACATCTAAGGTTTTGATAACATCTCACAAGAGAGATGTTGTAAAGCTAGAGAACTTCATACCAGATAAGTCTTTTACCTACTGCTGTGTTATGTGATTTCTTTTTCATTGGTTACTGTTTATTTCTACAACTTGGTTATGAATTCCAGCAAGTATGGTCTACCTCCTGTCATTCTTTGTAATTCAAATTTTGCTTCTACAGAAAGTAGAAAAAAATTCTATTGCCCTGTGCTAACTGCCAAACAGACAGGTCCATTCGTACTCTGAATATATAGATGTTGTTTCAAGATGCCTTTTATCTTGATGGAATGGGCTCCTCTTAGTTGTCTTTCCCATACTCATGTCTGTTTAACATAGATGGAACATAATGGGAAGAGAATTAGAAGGCTAGAGATGATGTGTCATTATGTTGAATTCTAATTGCTGAGAGCTAGGTGGAATGGCATAGCCATATAGGAAATAGTTATAGGGCTAACATCTTTAGATGTTTTAAAATCCAGTGAAAATACTACCTATGGCTAGATGCTTAATTGAATTAATTAGGAGGGCAGCATTTTGTTGAAATAAATTGAAGTTGAAAAGCAAGGTTGTTCCAGGAGTGCAAAGAAAATAATTGGAGTACTACAGACCCTCTTAATTAGAAAACAAACAGGTACTACATGTAAAAGAGGTCATTCCTTGCCTCATTTCCCACAAGGCAAGGTCAGTTTTATACTGCATTTAGGTTGAGTAGTTGGGCTAGGGAAATGTTTTTCCATAATTTCTTGAAGCACAGCTTTAAACAATGTGGCACAGGTATGAAGTCCCTAGGGATAGTAGCAGCAGGTAGAGCGGTCTGGCCTGTGGCAGGAGGATTCAGGGGAGGGAATTTCTGAGCAGCAGATGGTGAGTCTAAGCTAATCACTCTAGTCATTTCTGAAAACTGAATACAATTCTTCAGAACTTTAAAGCTGTTACTTCTGGGGCAGCATCTCAGAATGGATTCTACCTTCTCTCTTTCACATAGGAAGCAAACAAACAAACAAAACAACCCAGGGTAATAGGCAGGACCAAGAAAGCCAAGGGTTAGCAATTAGAATGACTCTGGCTGGAGGTTAAGAATATCAAAAGGGGAAGGCAGAAAGAGCAGAGAGGATTTTAAGAAAATGGAAGCTTCCTTTTGAGCTGGGAACCAGGAATACATCCAAGAAAAGGAATGTGGAAACTCATATAACAGATAATCGCATGGTAGAGGTGTTTATTTCACGCTTGGTAGCTTGTCAGGAAGTCAGTCTTAGACAGACCATCTTTTCAGTACTTGGAAAGGGCTGAGTCTCCAGGAACCTTCTCAACGCATTGGCTTTCATTAAATTCTGAATACTATGTGTGACCTCAGAAGGTCACTTCACCTGTATGGCCTAGGACTCCTTGTCTATTTTTGAAAAGCTAGAATAATGTATTCTCCTAGGGATGTCGTGAGAACTAAATGAGACAATGTGTCCAGCACATCTCTGCAAACAAAGAACATTCAATAAAAACGTGTTGTTTCTCCCTCTTCTTTTTCATTCTTTCCTCATAAGTAGGGCTCACCCAATTCCTGAAAAGCTGAATTGCTTCACAAGATGCATTTAATGCAAAAGGACAGAGCTTTGTCAAGAACTGTTAGAAACTTGAAGCTAGTGATATAACCTCATGGCTTCACACACAGTGACAGACCAAAGACCAAAGACGCTTGGATCTGAGACGATGCTGAATTACTCAGCACAGCAAGCAAGAAGAACATCAATACTTTTACTGCTTCCCTGGCCCCAGTTTCTGCAGCATAATGAGGAAAGAATCAGAGATGTTTATATCCACTGTGAGGTGTTTGACCTGAGAGGGGCCCCGGATTCAGGGAACACAAGGTTTGTATGAGAAGCAGAAAGCATATATGGCCACCACTTTAGACTAGCCCTTTTCTCAGGCCTATTTACTATGGAACATCCTTGAAATGGAAGCCTAGAACAAAGGCATCCAGTACCTCTGCTTGTTAGACATACAGATGTGAGCCACATGGAAAACTGGCCTCAAAAAGACAGAGCAGCAACACTCCGTTTGTACCCCATCCTCTTCCCCAGATGATTGCTGGAGAGGGATTTCTTCATGTACCTCTAACCCATAAAGATGGCATTTCACACACCCACATCCCCTGACTCTTCCTTTTCATCCTTTGCTGCTGTGTTTGTGCTATAGCCCCTTTTCAGGAACTCAATATCCTCATTTTTCTCTAGTTAGAGAGGTGACACAGCCCTGAGTTGTGGAGGTTGCTGGCCTGACCATGGAACAGGCTTTGCCTCTTGGGAATCCCGTGTAAAGCTAAGCCTCCATGAAAACTATTCGACAGGATGATGCAAAGAGGAGGATGCGGGACCTTTATTGTTTCTTCCGCAGTTGGAGAAAATGTAGTCCCAGCTTGGAAACTTGAGCCAAACTGGTGTCACTAAGATGGATTAGGAAATACAGTGCTTCAGATGTGAAACTTTGGGTGTGTGGGCCCAGAACCAGCTGGATGTCTGGAGAGAACAATAGGTCACCTACACAGAGCTATTTGATAGATGCCAAAATGTCTTCCCATTCCTGACATTTTCATTATCATCTCTCCTCTAGTCAAGACCTGGTCTAAAAAGGATGCTTTCTCAATACAAATATGTCATGTTGGAAAAACTACCTTTACCTTTTATAAACGCTTCCAGAAGTGATCCATTCATTCAATATCAATCAGTTCTAGACACTGGACTTCAGAGGTAGTCAGCTATAGTCTTTGTCACCCAGGAAAATTTAGTGGGACTTGCAAAGTAATTAAGAAATTAGGATGCAAAGCTATGAGCTTTATTTTAAGGGGATGACAAACTGACACAATGTGGGAAATGGGGGGCATTGAATCCTAATTTGGAAAATTGAGACGTTTGTTAGTTTATTTATAGAAATTAAATTTAAACTGAGATAGAAATTAAATTTAAGCTGAAACTTTATAAATTAATCATTTTTATCTGCATTTAAGAGGTGAAAGAACTGGAGCTTAAAGAGTCTAAATGTCTTGCCTGACGCCAGATGTCCTATAAAGATAAAAACCAAGGCTCAAGAATACTTTACATTTAAGTTTCCCCATAGATACATTCACTGCATTGTCTCTAAGCATGTAGGATTTTAGAAAAACATGGTCTATGAGAAATAAATCCTAGACTGTGGGAGTAGGGTGATTACAGGGTTCGGTGTGAACACAGTGGTGGACTTTCTGAAGCAGGGATAGAAATACAAAGCATACAACAACTGCTTTAGAAAGGCTAGAAGTAGAAGACTGGATAGAGGGAGATTTTGGAGAAACATTAAATGGGACTTGAAAATAATACAAATCATGTCATAACTTCTTAGGAGGTATAGTGGTTTGAATAACAATGTCCACCATAGGCTTAAGTATTTGAATGCTAGTCATTAAGGAGTGAACTTTTTTGAAAGGATTAAAAGGATTAGGAGACATGGCACTGTTGTAGGAAGTGTGTCATTTGTCAACTGCTACAGCATCATGCCTGCCATGCTTGCTGTTGTGCTCACCACCATGGTGATATGAGCCAAACCTCTGAAACTGGAAGCAAATCCACAATTAAAGGCTTTCTTTTGTAAGAGTTACCTTGGTCATGGTGTCTTTTCACAATAATCAAACACTGACTAAGACAGCAGGAAATGAAGATAGAGAGGGACAAAGAGAGGATGAGAAGGGGAAAGGAAAGGACAGAAGAGAAAGGGGTCTGCTAGTTAGATACCTTTCTGTTGATGTGATAACCAACTTATAGAGTAAGATTCTTTGGGATCATGGTTCCATAGCTTTCAGTCAATGATTAATTGGTTACATTATTTTAGAACTTTGCCGAAAAGAACATCATAGTGAAGAGTGTAGGATGTGTCAGTGTTTTTTCACTCCTTGGAAGTTGAGAATTACAAGAGTGGAGAAGAGGGACCAGGTCTCAACAACCCCTCCAAGACATGTTCTCAATGACCCAACTTCCTCTCACTGTAGGCCTTACCTCCTGAAGTTTCCATCATCTCCTAAGAACCCCTCAGACTAAGCACCAAGCCTTTAGTGTAAGGGCTTTGGAACATAGTAACTGAAGCCATAGAGATGGGGAAGGATATAGAGTAGAAAGAAAGCATAATCATTTAGGAACTCATGTAAGAGAACTTCATGTTGTAACCAA